CCTTTCACATTTTTTGAAAGTCGTAAATGATATACACTATTTGAGGGCAAAAAAGGGCTTAAGTTCCTTGATGATGCACACTACTTCACATTCAATGTTATTTTTCCGTTCATCCAAACACCCATAGCACTGAGTATATGGGTGTCTGTTTTCATTGCATTGGCCAAATGTTGATGCTTCAATACCATGCACGAATTTAATCCGATTGCCCGCTACACATTCCGTATTTTATCATTCACCATTCAGTTTATTTCAGCAATCTGCTCCGAAGATCTACTTAATTGAAGTTGAATCCCAAATTTATTTTCCAAACACTACTGATGATGATGAAGTCGTCGCTTTTTGTGATTTGTGATGAACTACATTTACTATTAGATCAGCCTCTCTCGCTTATTTATCGATGTACGTTGACACACTCCAGTTTGCGAAAGGTAAAATGTAAATAAAACATACGGAACGCATTGCATCGCAGTGAGATTAGATTATTTGATTGATAGAGACGAAGGAAGAGAGCGGCGACAATTGGTAAAATAAACATCTGGTTCAAGAGATCAAGTCAAGCAGTCGTTGTTTTTTGTCATTAGGGCCACTTAAGCGGATGTACATTGTACACTCTGTAGGAAATTCTATTAGATCGTGGAAAAGTCGATTAATAGAAATATTGGTCAAAGCAATCAACTCAAAACCATGTAATTTTGCTATTTGTTAAATAGAAGGTTTTCTTTTACTCTTTTCCATCTAAAAATCTCAATCTCTGAATCCGAATTGCATAAATTCAATAGGGTGTAATTGAACACTACTGGTCATTTCGCTCCCTACAGCGATAAAATCGATCCTTTCAAATGGCTAAACAAAAGCATAGTAGAGGTAACAGCGACAACAACATTGTTATTATTATAAAATCTAATTTTTATTTTACAAGCCATTCAAATTATCTGAATGCCGTACAACTCGTTTCAGCTGCCATCGCATTGATTTACAAAAGAGTTTTCTAATTGTGTTTGTCTCCTGTTTCCCCCAATTTAACAATACAATAAAATGATTCAAATGAAAAACGCTGCAATGGAAGCAGTAACTGACAATTTCTATTTGGACAGGCCATTAGAGTGCTTATTTGTCTCTTATCGCCTTGCCGTTTTTGTCATCGTTACTCATTCGCACCAGCCAATATAGTGACACACTCTAAAAACACGATTTATTAACGATGTGATTAAATAAACTTTTCAAAAAGAGCGACCAAAACAGATAAAACGAAAAATGTAAAATGTGAAATATGTTTTATGTGACATGTACTATGGTTGTTTTTCCTCTCTCTCTCTCTCTCTCTCTCTCTCTCTCTCTCTCTCTCTCTCTCGCTAACGCACTTAGTGTTCAATGTTGATTCGAGCGCCGAAAAACGGATTTCATTATTTAGGCTTTCATTTATCCATCGAAGCAGATACACAATGATAGTGAGACGGAAGAGCGAGAGTGAAGTGATATTGTGTGTGTGTTTGTGCCATGCATGTTTTTAGTGATAGGCCATCATCTCATGCACGCATACATAGACACTTTAAAACCGATTATCGAGATTAGCGACGCGGCTTTCATTTTATATATTACCAAAGTGGTGCCGAAAATTTCCGCATAAATGCCGACAACTCTCTAAGCTAAAAGGGGCTTTCCGTTATATTCCTGCAATGGATTTACTCTTGTTTTTCTCTATTTTGATAGCCAAATTTGATGGTGTACTTGTACCGAGTTAAATTTACGAATTTATTTTGGGAGTCATTGTTGTTGCTTTTGTTGTTGGCGGCAGTGGTGATGGTGGTACGAGGCACATGTGTATTTTGTTGAGTATCGACGATGGACTGTTGAGTGAATGCTTTATTTTCCTATAAAACATCATTCGCCCGATAAAATTACGTACGAAATTTAGATTTAGTGCGTGGATATTCAACACAACGACGCAAAGCTTACATGCACGACTGAACAGCAATGTCTCTATCTTAATTTTGGTGGTATCTCGTCTGTGTCTCACCCGACAACGATGCATCGCTCTTTAAAGTGTTAATTTAAACATAAAATTTACAAGTCGATTCACTCTTTTATGCGTCAATCCCAAAGAGATGATGACGAAAATAACGCTTTTCGTGCAAAAATAAACATTTTTGCCAGCTCAACGACACCACAGCTATAGAGCACCACCATTCTCAGCTACCATTTGCCAATAAACTCATGCTTCACTTTGCGGCTTACAACACAAAAATAGTCAATGTTACTGTAGTAAGATCATCTTTTCAGCAACACGTTCCGTTAAAATCGAATTTAAGTTTGTATATATGGGTGTTGAAATGACTTTAAAATCATCTTGTTTTCATCAAAATAATAACTATAAGTATACTTGATGAATATTATTCCTCCGAGTGCTTCGCCCTGTTCTAGATTGAAAACAATAATGGAGCAATCTACGAACAGGGTGAAGCTCTTGTTAGAATATCATGGTGTATACTTGATAAATTGCAGCGCATGATGAATCCTTTGTGTTGTTGAATTGGGTTAGTAATTTATTTATATTTAACTTGGCATGCGGACAAATTTGCATCTCGCTTTTAAATTTCATTTGCCAAGGCCCAGCGTCTATACTTTAACAGCTCGAAAAATCGCCAATTGTTCACTCAAAATAAGCATTATTAATAATTGATGAAAAATTAAAACGGAATTGCACAGGATTTGTACAGCCGTCGCGTTTAAAAAAAGCTACAATTGTAGGAAAAGTTATTTAAACCGATAAACTACCTACAAAACCAAATAATTTTAATAAACCTTCGTACATTTACTCCGAAAATTACGTCTTTTAATACAACGAACACCGAAATTACTCTAATTAAATTAATTTTGTCTTTTTAATCAAATTGAAAATTTGTAATGCATCTATTGAAGAAGACATTTAATATTTTATTTGATTGCTGTATTTCAAGCTCTATTTCTATTTATGATTCAACTGAGGCCAGCAAAAATAAAAATCAGATGAATAATTAGAGATTATCTCTTATGTTCGACAAATTGTAATCTATGAGCGGAAACTTCTGTTTCTGAACCAATACAGATCTGGAATCTTGTATTGGCAACGTAGCTAACAAATATTTTGCTGGCTATGTGTATCGTATATTTTGAACAATACATTCTTTACATCTGGATCGTTTCCGATTGTTATCATTACAATTTTTATTTCATAACATTTTCTCGCTAATTTACAGCAAACTCAAATATTTGAAAACAACCTAAGTTAGATTGCATTTGTAACAGAAAGCTGTTGAATTCAAAATAAGATTTCGATTTTTTTCTGTTCATATATGAACAGAAAAAAATACACTATAGTGTTTGAAAGATAGAAATTATGACTTTTGAAATAGTATCAATCCTTTCAATCCGTGGCTTAACTGAAAAAAAAAAACGTTTGAAATATTTAAAGATGCTATTGTGTCGAAGTACTAGAAGAATTAAATATATAACTAATTTTAGTTTGGAAAATGAATATCTGAACTTTAGTTCGGGAAGCTATATTAGATTGTCAGAATGGCTTACGCTGCTTCGAATGTACAATGCACTGAGTGTTTTTTTTCCTTTTGACTCCAAGTGGAGCATAGGGCCTTCAGATAAGAATTCTTATCTTTCTGGTTTCTGTTGATCAATTAATTCAGATAAATCGGTGATCAGGTGTTGTTTCTTAGTCGTTTCAATTCTAAATTGGCGAAATAAAACTTTTTTCAAAAGAGTTCTTTGCAGCAATAATGTAACGATTAACTTCTAACTGCTAAAGAAAACTGATCGTGTTTTCTTCGAGAAGACTTTTAAGAAAAAATGGTTTTTATTCAAATTTGAACAGTTTATTTGAAATCAATGACATTGTAACATGTTTGAATTTTTGCGTGTGTATACAATCGTCATGTCGTCGCGCATACGCGAATGGCTGCAAATGAAATTTACGCTTTCTTATTGATGTTTATATCCTCCTCCAACAGTTCTGCAGTGTTTGTTCGTAGATTGGATCTTGTGCCTTTCATCGAGTCCGTATTTTCCAATAGCAGCAGTCGATTCTCCAATTCAAAATCGGCCATATTTAGCTGTGTGCATCTGGATATTAACTGCAGCAATTAGCCGTATATGCGCTGGAAATTGAAATATTATTTAACTTTTGTTTTCTTATTTTTTAATGTAAAATAGAGTTGACTTTAATTTTGAGTAAAAGATTTTTGGGTGGAAATGTGAACATTATTTCATGCATGGCTCCATCACTTACCTAGAGTGATAGACAGCTACTGCATCGATGATTTACTAAGCTCGTTTTAGCAAGATGCAATAGACCAAGATAAATTGTCGAGTGACTGACTCGGTATTTATAACTAAACTTGACTTTGAATTGCGTCTTCAAAATAAAAACATTATAAATAAAAGAATAATAAATAATCGTAAAACGACCTTATGGAAAAATATGGATCTTTCTTTGTTTCATTTGTTGGACATTATCACCGAATATAATCATATCACTGATCATCATGTTATCAAATGACGAGACTTACAATGAATACAATTCAGGTCTTGCAAATTTACGGCGCAAAATGCATTAAACTCCACCCTTATTAATACGAAAGCTACTACCCATTTCCATATTTCAGGCGTTTTCATATTGTCACACTTCATGGAAACCGATTTTTTTTTTTTTTTACATTCCCCGAAATGTCTATTTTATCACAGATAAACAGATAAAGCTAATAGGAATCACTTACCAAACGCCTGATAATTATAACTGAATAAAATGTTACGAAAAAAATTATAATACATTTCAAAAATTCCAAAGGATTTTTTTTACTTATGGGGGATAAATATTTGAATTGGTAATTCATCAAATGCAATGACATTTTATATTGAAGAATTTTATAATAAATAAAGGAATCTTGACAATACTTACAAAAGAGGGTATAAATATGGTTGGTTTTGATACAAAACTTCATCTCAACGAAAGCTATTGCATCTTGCAAAAACAATTTGACAGTTATCTATTCACTCTTAGAGTAAGTGATAACTTCTCTTTTTTTGCAGGAAATTAATTCCCTTTCAGTTTTCTAATTTAACTATTCTTCAGTTACATTTATATGTGTGTCATTGTTTTTCTAATAGTTTATTTTTTTCTGTATTTTCAGACATTTTTATAAGTTACCAAATTCGATTTCAGTTGAATTTACTATTAAATTAAAGTATACTGTGTTGGTGTTGAAAATATCTAATAATAATAATGATGATCGCGGTACGACCAATTAAATGGATACTTTTGGTATTCATATTTGGGTTGTTGAGCGTAACAGCAGCTGCGAAACCAAAGAAATTGAACATTGTGGTAATTGGAGCGGGTGCATCGGGCCTCGCTAGTGCAAAGAATGCAATCGACGAAGGACACAATGTCACAGTCTACGAACAAGGCGAAACTTTAGGAGGAATATGGTTCTATACAGACGCAACTGGAAAAGATCAGTATGGCAAAGATATTTACACTCCGATGTATCAAGGATTGAGGTACTTGAGACGTTTAATCGCTCAGATCAAAGTGGCAAACATTTTCAAATGATGTGTTTTCTTTATTTCGAACAGAACGAATGTGCCGTTTCATCCGATGGAATTCCCAGATTTTCCATTCCCACCCGACACACCATCGTACCCAACACAACAAATGATCTTCGAATACTTACAATCGTATGCCAGACATTTCAACGTGTTGGACAGAATAAAATTCCATCATCGAGTTCAAAAAGTGGAATTGCTCCCATCACCGGGGTTAAAAGCCGATAAATGGCAAGTGACCGCTAGGAACTATCCAGACGGAAAAGACGAAGTCGGGAAATTTGATTCAGTTTTCGTTTGCAGTTCGGTTTATAATTCACCACGGTATCCAAAGATTGAAGGCATCGACCTATTTCAGGGGAAGAAGATGCACAGTCACGATTATCGTAATCCCGAACCGTTTAAAGGTTTGTTCTTCTTTTAAAATCCGCTCCAGAAACACTTTTTTTCATAGCGTTCTGTGTTTTTTCGAACAGGTAAAAGTTGTTTAATTATTGGTGGGGGTTCAAGTGGATCGGATATTGTAATTTTCATCTCAAAAACCGCTGCACGAGTAACGTTCAGTCAGAATCCACGTACCAATGAATCCGATGAATTACGCAAAACTCGAGAAAGTGTATACGGACCGAGGGTCACGCATAAAGGCAATGTGGAACGTATCACAACTGACGGAGCCATTTTCAAAGATAAATCTCAACAAACTTTTGATGTTATCATTTTTGCAACAGGTAATTAAACACAATTTGGATATTTCGCAGCGAAGACGGAACTAAAATGATTCCGTTAATTTGTCAGGTTATGGATATGAATACCCATTTTTGGGGTCAGATTCTGGTATCAAAGTTGAAGACAATTACGTGTCTCCGCTTTATAAACAAGTCTTGAACATTGAACATCCCACGATGGCGTTCATTGGTGTACCGGTCGATGCTGCACACAATCAGGTACAAACAAAACATACACAACATAATTAACAAACAATAATATGTTCTTCAAGGGGAAAACCGGTACTGAAATACTAAATATACTCAGAAGTATTGAAAAGTACCGAAAAGTACCAAAACGTATCAAAACGTACCAAAACGTACCAAATAGGTATTCGTTTAAAAAAAAAGTGAATAATTTTTTCGTGTTTTCGACTGTCTTTTTAGTGTTACATGGCAAGCTTGTATGAAAC